TAACAACGATCATAACGATAACTATAACGTACAAACCAACATGCAATTAAATTTGTTTATTTTAAGTGCGCACTCCGAGGCAGACAGTAGTGAAGTATTTTTACTCTGCCCTAAAAGTGCATTTTTCAAGTGTGTACTTTATCAGTGTTTTTCTTTAGAAAACTTTTACTTCACAACATTCCAAAGCATAATATTGTACTTTTTACTGCACTACATTTCATATTAAATAGCATTTAATACTTAATTACATTAAAAATCTAGTACTTTCTTACTTTTACTCGAGTAAAAATAATTCAAAGTTTTACTTGAGTACAAGAAAGTGCTACTTTTTTTAATGTTCTTAAGTGTTAAAGGTAAAAAAGTACAAAAAAAAAAAAAATTATTTATGAAATGTAGTGCAGTAAAAAGTACGACATTATGCTTTGGAATGTATTGAAGTAAACGTTCTCTAAAGAAAAACACTGATAAAGTACAGATACTTTTTAAATTTACTTGAGTAAAGTAAAAGTACTTCACTACTGTCCACGTCTCACGTACTGCAGTTTTGTCGTCTGCCAACTTTTAAGGATGAATTCTGATTGGCTGTCAATGTTTTCTTCGGTTAGAAAAATTGTTCTGAAAGTAATTCCAACAATACTGTCCTATTTAGTCGTTATCGTTATAGCTGTAGTGTGGACATTGCTATTCTCATAGAATTAGAGTGATTATTAAAACTTTGTAGTTATAATTATCATATTTGATGTGAACGGCCCTTAAAGGTCTTTTCACACTGATAATAATAATCACAATGATAACTAAATTAGCGCACAAACCAACATTTGATCAAATTGTTTATTATAAGTGCCTACTGCAGTTTTGTCGTCTGCCTCTTTAAAAGCTCAAGTGCTTTAAAGTTGAATGGATTCTGATTGGCTGTCAATGTTTTTATTATTCATTAGTTGGAAAATCGTTCTGAAAGTGATTACAATGATATCGTTCCTCTGTCCTTATTGTTGTAGTTGTAGTGTGGACATTGCTATTCTCTGAATTTTAACAATTGTTAAAACTATAATTATAATGATCATATTTGATGTGAATGGCCCTTAAAAGTCTTCACACCAATAATGAAATCATAATACTAACTATATTAGTGTACAAACCAGCTTTGATAGAATTGTTTAAGTGAGCTCTGAAGTTTTGGCACAGTAAGTGCTGAAGATCTTTAAAAGATGGATTCTAATTGGCTGTCATTGTTTTAATGGTTGGAAAAACAATTGGAAAAATTGTTCTGAAAGTGATTTCAATAGTATCGTTCATCTGTGAGATGATATATCTACTGCTATAGCTGTAGTGTGGATTTCACTATTCTCATTAAACGATTATTAAAAATGTATAGATGTTATCCTTGGTGTGAACAGCCTTTAAAAACCTGTTCGCAACTATAACGATAACTATAACAATACGGAGTGTCTATTTACACTAAATAGCCCGCCTTGTTGGCAGAAGCTATTTACACTAACTCCGCCCACAGACGTGTGATTGGGCTACTCAACACTACAAAAGACGATCATCTTATGGCGCTTTTCCACTGCATGGTACGGCTCGGTACGGTTCACTTTTGGGGGGTTTTCCACTGGGTACGCAAACCGAGCCGAGCCGTGCCGAGCCGAGTCATACCACGCAGTGAAAAAGCGCCATAAAACCGCTCCAGTCTCGTAGGTGGTATTGCTAGTGCCGTGGTCTTTTGACACGATCGACCCAAGTTCGAATCCACCTTCTGCCGAACTTTTTTTTTTTCTTTTTTCAAATCGCATATCACTTCGGAAAGGCATTTATTTTCAATAAAAAAGAAGGAAATAATCGAAAAGTTAAGTACAAATAAAATAAAGAATCAGGTAGGATTTAATAATTTGAATTAAAATTATCATTTACACTCAATACGTTATTATTGCATACTGTTTTATAATGTACTACACTACTAAGGTGCAGATAATTGCCACTATTTGCGATAAGTAGTATAAATCGCAGAAAATCCTGTTATTTTAAAATAGGTCCGGAAGTATTCAGACACTGACTGAGTTTTTGTTCTTTTGCCTTTATACACCACTACAGTGGATTTTAAATAAAACAATCAAGATGTGATTGAAGTGCAGACTTTTAGCTTTATTTTAAGAGGTTCCACAAAAACATGAGATTTACCATTTAGGAGTTACAGCCATTTTAAGCAAAGTACCTCCGAGTTTTTGTTCTTTTGCCTTTATACACCACTACAGTGGATTTTAAATAAAACAATCAAGATGTGATTGAAGTGCAGACTTTTAATCAAAGTACCTCCATTTACAGGGGCTCAATAGTATTTGGACAAAGTGACATAATTGTAAATATAAGCACAATTTTAATACTCGGATGAAAATCCTTTGCAGCCAATGGCTGCCTGTAGTCTGGAGCCCATGCACATCACCAAATTCTGAGTTTCCTCCCTGGAGATGCTTTGCCAGGTCTTCACTGCAGCCACCTCGAGGTCTTTCTGCCTTCAGTCTTGTCTTCAGTAACTGAAAAGCATGCTCTGTTGGATTGAGATCAGGAGACTGATTCGGCCATTGAAGAATATTCCATTTCTTTGCCTTCAAAAAGTCTCGAGTTGCTTTCGCGGTATGTTTAGAGTCATTATCCATCTGCACTGTGAAAGCTGCATCCTATCAGTTTTGTAGCATTGGCTGAATGTGAGCAGAGCGTATAGCCTTAAAGAGCTCAGAATTCATCCTGCTACTTCTGTCAGCAATAAACAGCAGTGAGTCCGTTCCATTGGCAGCCATACGTGCCCATGCCATGACACCATGTTTGACACTTGATGTGGTGTGCTTTGGATCGTGAGCTGTTCCTCTCTTTCACCATACTTTTCTCTTCCCATCAGTTCGGTACAAGTTAATCTTGGTTTCATCAGTCCAAAGAACCTTATTCCAGAACATGGGAGGCTTTTTAGATGTTTTCTGGCAAAGTCTAATCTTGCTTTCCTGTTCTTGAATGTTACCAGTGGTTTGCACCTTGTTGTAAACCCTCTGTATTTGCATTCATGGAGGCGTCTCTTGATTGTAGATTTGGCAATGATGTGCCTACCTCCTCCAGAGTATTCTTGATTTCTGTTGACGATATTGAAGGGGTTTGTCTTCACCAAGGAAAGGATTCTGCGATCATCCACTTTAGTTGTCTTCCGTGGTCTGATGTTGTTGAGCTCACCAGGGCTTGCTTTCTTCTTAAGAACGTAGCCAACCGTTGGTCTGGCCACACCTAAGGTTTTTGCTATCTCTCTTATAGATTAATGTTGTTTTTCAGCTTAATGATGGCCTCCTTCACTTTCATCGAGATCTCCTTGGACTTCATATTGGTAGCACCAGTCAAACAGCTTCCAAATGCCAATTTGATACCTCAAATCGACTCTTTTATCTGCTTAATTTGTCTTGAAGTAACGAGGGAATGGACAATTAACCTCTTCTTAGTCAACTGTCCAAATACTATGGAGCCCCTGAAAATGGAGGCACTTTGCTTAAAATGTCTGTAACTCCTAAATGGTAAATGTCATGTTTTTGTGGAACCTCTTAAAATAAAGCTAAAAGTCTGCACTTCAGTCACATCTTGATTGCTTTATTCCAAATCCATTGTAGTGGTGTATAAAGGCAAAAGCACAAAAACTCTGAATACTTCCGGACCTGACTGTAGTTATTTGCACTTAGTGCAAATAGCTGCCTCCAATAACAATAACATTATTAGTGCATAAAACAATGCTCTATAATGTGTTGTTCATTATATATGTGACCCTGGACCACAAAACCTGTCTTAATTGTCAATTTTTCAAAATTGAGATTTATACATCATATGAAAGCTGAATAAATAAGCTTTCCATTGATGTATGGTTTGTTAGGATAGGACAATATTTGGCTTGAGATACAACTATTTGAAAATCTGGAATCTGAGGGTGCAAAAAAATCAAAATATTGAGAAAATCACCTTTAAAGGGGTCATATGATGCGATTTCAATTTTTCCTTTCTCTTTGGAGTGTTACAAGCTCTTGGTGCATAAAGAAGATCTGTAAAGTTGCAAAGACTAAAGTCTCAAATCCAAAGAGATATTCTTTATAAAAGTTAAGAGTCAGCCACGCCCCCCTAAAACGGCTCGTTCTAACACGCCCCCACATACCTACATCACGATCTGGGAAGATTTGCATAAAGCCGCCCAAATGTTCACGCAAAGAAAGAAGGCGTAACTTTATTGTAGCTGCCACCGTCATGTCGTGGAGACGCTGCGTGTTTCGTTGTGAAAGCGAAACTACTTTATTTGGTCTTCCAAAAGAGGATGATATCCGCTTCGTCATGCCT